TGTGTCTGTCCGTCTTGTCTTTTCATTTTCAACCTACAGGTCACAATTTCTAAAATATTTCAGAGGAATTCGGTACGCTGACCTATTTTGGGTCAAGGATAAAGCACTTCCCATATAATGACTTACTTTAAAAAGTCGTTGGTTTTACTTGTTTTGTTAGCTTGCAATCGCAAGACTGAAGAGTAGCCGCTTCCTTATTCAAATACTTCTGCTCATGTTGTTTCCTAGAAGAGTTTAAAAAACATATATATGTACTTTTTGTTAATAGAATATATAGTTTTATGGCCCGAATTCATAATTAATATCCAAAACGCCATGCTAAACTTTTCCAAAGGCATTAAAACCTTTAAGTCGGTTTCAGCCTCATATCGATTTACCGGCCATCTCGATGAAGGTACACTAAGTTATCTTTGTTCGGAAAAGCTTCGAAATGAGTGAATGTCTTTCTAAAGACATCTCTTAGTGTAGTTGTAGTGTAGAGAGTGTCAGAAAGCAACGAATAAGTCAGGTAAAGCAGTAAGCTCCGAGTAGGGATTCGTTTGACAGAAACAGTCTTTCGAAGAGCTTACTAAAAGACCTGAAACTTCAACAAAAAGATATTTTTTAACTAAAGAATTTTTTCCGGATATCATAGACTGTTTAAGGCATTTATCAAGTCAATATTGAAAAAAATGATTATCTTTTTAAAGCTGCAAACCTTTTCTACAACAACCTATCCTTCATTGAAAAAAAAAAAAAAAAAACAAATATATTGATATATATCGCATTTTAATGTCAGAACCTTTAGTTTACAACCGCCTAATAAAGTAATAAAATTTTTAGTTGATATTCGCTTCTTAATAATGTTTAGATTCATTTGTTCACTTGTTGCCTCTTCAGATTGTGGTCTACCGCATTAACTAATTTGTAAAGTCATGTCTATCAACAGTACAATCTCTAAACAAAATACAAACACCTTTCTCATCTAAAGTTTTTTTTTTTTTTTTTTTTTTATTTCAATAAAAAAAAAAAAAAAAAAAAAAAAAAAAAAATTTTTTTTTTTCTTTTGGGTTTTTGCCTGTCTGTATATATATATATATATATATATATATATATGTTTATGATGTTGACGTTTGTTATTAAAATACATCTTCAATACTATATACATACAGATAAGCATATATCCGGCATTTCATCCAAGTAATGTACATGTCAAGGCTAATTGTCTAAAGAGAAAAGAGAATAAAAAGGAAAATTAAAAGAAGAAAAATTGGAAGAAAAAATAAAACCATCACTAACGAACACTGCATTGAATGCAGCATAATCGATGAAAATAGATAACCCATGATAAAAGTGAAATTCCCATTCAGTATGAATCATTTATTTTATTGCATTTTTCCATTCTTTGTATGGCTAAGATTTCTACTTACTATGCTACGTACATGAGTCTTATCGTTAATACACGCACAGAGCGTAAAGCGAACTTTAAGTGAAATATTTCAAATGCGTATATAAAACTGCGTCTATATGCTCGAATGCGAAAATATCCCTAAAAGTTTTCCGTATTCACAAGCATATACACACATGACAAACACGCACACGCATACAGACTTAAAGATAAATTAACTAAATAACTATTCATTATGCGACAAATTTGTTGTGGAATTTACGCAATGACACTCATATTTCATCGTTTTTGCTCCTCTGGTTGGCAATCTTTGCCGAATTATTGCTTTTCTCTAACATTTCAGTTTAAACGCAATCACGATCTTAATGAAATGTTGAGGAAAAGCAAAAGAAGTGACGGAGAAAGAAAAAAATTTTGCTACAGAGACGTTCTCTCCAAGAGGGGCTTATATTTAACTCGGTTTGTCCTCAAGATTTAATCGTAGATAGAAACTTTGATCTGTGCCTGCCACCATATGCCAAGAAGGCATATGTAAAATAGAAGTTCAATATCCATTGTGGTATTGTAGATTGAGGGCTGGTTATAGGCGGTTATAAGACGTTTGCACTTATTTTCAAACTTGATGAACTTGTGTCCATCAGCTTGGAACGTGTGCAAGGTATGATTTATTTATTCAGTTTATCTCTAACGACTGACAAGAGATGTTCGGGATGGGTGAAAGAATAAGCGAGCAAAGGCTAAATGACGGAAGAAAATATTTAAAGGTCTTTGATGCGCACTTTTGCTTATTGGAAAAGGGAAGATAGTCTTGAATAACATCAATTTTCGATTATTCCTAAAATTTTAGTCTTCGATCCAAAAGCCCTGGAAATTATCAGGTCTTATCAAGTCGATATCGAACAAGCCAATTGCTTGTTGTTAATTTGGCCACCGTAACATTAGGTTTGGTTCATCTGCCAGCTCTGGTTACCAAATATGGTTGCCGGCCAATTTGATCCTTTCTTCCAACGACAAATAATAACTTGAAACATCATTTGTTAACAGCCAGATACTTTTATTAAACACTTGCGATCAAGTATCTAATAACTATGGATAGCATTTTTATGACCAAGGTATGAGGATATACAGGATTTGTTATTACGTTTGCAATATCTCGAAATAGATTCCGCTGGACACCATAATGTATATATTCTTGACCATGGTAAGATTACGAATCAATCTAATTCTGTCCATCGGTTTGACCTTCATTTGTTATTGATATACTAAGTTCATGGATAAAGATCAAGTTTGGAAATGAAAAAAACACAAAAACGTTATAATTTACTACTCATAGCCAGCATTTGAAACTTGTTGTTGAAACTTGGTGCAAACGTTTGTAAGAGTCGTCTTACGACCACAAAGCACATAACGTTACAATAGCTTCTTCATACATTCCGTGCGTCCTTCCGTCCGCCCTGCATTTTAAAGTTCGCAATTTTTGAAGTACGTTGATAAAATTAGGTGCACCGACGAGTGGATCGGTCCACTTTTATGACCAGCTCTCATATGAAGACTTATTTCAAAAACCGTTATGTTAATAGCTGTGCAGGATCTTCAATGATGCTATACTGTTAGTTTCCCTTGTTCTTGTTTCAAATTATCATTCGTATGATCGTTTTTATTAGCTATGTGGTTTTATTCGTTCTACTACGTTTATGCTTAACGTAAAAATATTTTATAGTGCAATTTTTTCAAGTGTCAATTAAATCCAAAACGAATGTCGCGAAGTAGTTTTGGTGCTAACTTCAAAGTTTGTTTAACTTTTAACATCTAAATTAAGCGAAAGTTAAATTTGCTCAGTTTTTACATTTTAACTGTTAACTATTGTGTTAAAAAATACCCCGCGTTATGTAATCTTCATCGTATATTGTGGTGAGACGATTTTAATAACTTGTCATCTCTTCACGCAAAACTTAGGTACCGATTATTAGTCCCTTATGCTGTAGATTTGGTTTTCGGCAATACATAGATCAAAACTTAGGAATAGCCAAAGCTAGACCCGTTAACTATGTCGACCTCTTTAGCGATGCACTCATAGACTTGTGTAATGAAACGGCTTGAGAAAACAAAACATATATTTTCCAAAATACATTATCACGTATGATAAAATTTGATGAGGAGATACGACAAGGACGGGTGGACTGATCGCGCTGTACTTACGCCCTAATTGGGTAAGATTGTAACTTGATTTAGTCATTTTCTCTGTATCGGACTCGATAACTTACGGCTTGTTGGGATAAATCATTTGCATGAATTTGAACCGATAATTACCTAAGCGTCCCAATCCTTCTAACGGTGGCTGAACTTGCTAATCGGCTTAGTAATCGCAACTCTTCTTTTTTCGGGTATTGCTTGCATTCTACCCTGCTCTACGTAAACAGGTATACAAAAACTAAACCTAAATGGAAGACCAAAACGAACGGATGACTTTGATCCTTTCTTTTCCTTTGATTCTATTTCTTTATACTCATTAAATATCAGGTACAGTTGGTTTAGTTGTATGTGAATCAAATTTCAAGCCGAAGGTTTATTGCTTCACTACGTTTACTCCACTCCACACAGATCAGATTTGCTTCAAGTCTCAATCTTGTTATTTTGTCGTTAAGATAAACACATAAATCATTAAAGCTCGCGGTCCCCTCAACGTCTGCGACTATAATTGTGAGAAAGCATTAACGTTTTGTTGAGATATCGTTACGCAGGTAAACTAACGTAAATTAGATACAAAAGAGCAAAAACTAGCATAACACTAAGTGTAAAAACAATAAATTTTTTTTAATAGGAACAAACAAATAGTTAAAGTAGTAAACAACAATGGCATTAAAAATATCAAACCAATAAAATTATTAACTTTTTTTATCGAAGAGCAGGTTATCTGTCCATGAACAGACAATTGTTTGCTAACAAATAATTTACAAAAGCAATGTTAAGGGAAAAATATATATATATATTTTTTTTGTTTTTAAATATGTAACAAAGTAATTTGGCGAAATATGAAATAAGAAAAAAAAAAAAATTGAATTAATAAATGAAATTGATCATGAATTAAAGCGAATTATAATCACACATACACATACAAACGCAGGCGGGCACACTTGGTGGATAGTTCCACTTGATGTTTGGCATGCTTCACAAGCGGATTAACACAACGCATTTTCTTGTTTTATTCATCTTCTTCGTCAGTGTGATGCTGTTTACTGAGGTATGTTATCTTAAAATTCAAGTATTTTTTTTTTTTTTGTGTTTTTCGTGCACCATACACACAAGTAAGTACGAGTGTACGTAAAAGAAAAGAGAGAAAAAAAAAAAAACGAAAAAATTTGGTTTTTAAATATTTTGAGAAAGTTGCCTAAATACTTTTCATGTAACAGGTTGAAAAGAAATGAGAAAATTTTTCTGTGGTACGCATGCACGAGAAAACCTTTTTTCGTTTTTGGTAGAATTTCGACTTTACATAAAAAAGAAAGGAAATTTTTGCAATCAAAACAAAAAAAAGAAGATGTCTTACTAAAACGTAAAGAAAAAAAAAAAATTTTTTTTAGTTTTACATCGGTTTCACCACAGTTAAGCTTAAAGGTTTAATGCTGGTAGGATTAAATTTAAATTATCACAATCAGGCCGGTTGCAGAATGTTGTCTACAATAGACCTTGCAAGCTTAAAATAGATGTTTTGTAAGATCTCATTCAATAAGGCCTTGGGATGATATATCAGATGTTTCTCTTCTTTTACAAAATCAAAAATAAACTAATGGTAAAAATGTCATGAATCTTTGACACAATCCTTGTGAAGCTCAGCCTTAGCTCAAAATCAAAATATGGACTCATCAAAGCTTTTCTATATCTACATGTCATCCTGCGAACTTATTGAGTGATGCCCTAAGTCAAATTTTCGCTCTTGATATCTTCGCCCAAAGTGCAAGTAAAAGCAAGTAATAATATTATAGTCGGTCAAGGCTGACTATTGGATATCACTTTGTCTCGTTTCGTTAATAGTACACCAGATTTTACGCATTATTTTAATGCACTCGCCTACTTTTTATGCGAGACCCAAATTGTGTAGCAACCGCAAGGCGTGACCCAAGGTTAGTAAAATTATTTATTCTCTAAAAATGTTATTATTTTTCAGTTTCCGGTATAAAAAACGAGAATATCGACTTTCTCTTCGTATAATGGCGTGCGTTCCATCATAATACCTATATATGGTAGGGTCTGAAAAATAGACCTACGTGATCCAAATTCTCCAACGGTAATTTTTTTTTTGCTAAATTCCTTCTACTCTCATTTTCATAATAAAATATTAATAATTAGGCCTTTTCAGCATATACAGCTTTACATGTCCTGAGAATCGTTTTAAGCGCTGATATTCGCAAAATAGGTCTATGTTTTCCAAATTCCGTGAGGTTGATTTCTTCGTCAATTTATTATTACGAACCAATTTTCACTATGAAATATTGAAGACTATACCTCTTTGCCATAAAAAGATTCAGTTTTCGTAGGAACGGTTATATAACAGAGAGGTCAATAGTCGAAGCATTATTGCTCAGCGAGTTTCGTCGAAAAATGTTGAAAATATTAATCTTTCTAAGCTAGGCGTTGCTAAAATAAACCACATTATATGTGGAGTGATTGAAACAGTGGATCGATCTAAGTCATTTTCAATAGCTTCCGACCTTGGATTAAAGCACACCAGTGTACTAAAATTTATCAAAGTATCTGAAAAGTTGCGACGTGTAGGCTACATACAAAAATAAATGGACAGATCTGCAGAGGATCGGTATACTTAAAGGTGGGTCCATTCTGGGTGTTACGAGCGAGCACACAAACTTAATACACCCTGCACCGCAAGTGGCGTAGAGTATAACATTCTTGCTTTTGTAGAAACCGGGTGCATCGATAGACGTGTGTTTTGATTATTGTCGCTTTAGTAAGAAATTTGTTTATCCACCAGAAAAATTCTCTCTTTTTTCTTTGCCACAAACTGCAATGGATTCATAAAGTTACACAAGATCTATTAAAAAATCTGCCTAAGGGGCTTCTCATTATCAAGTTAAAATCGTTCTGCAGAAAGGCATTTGCTAAACATGTACAGAGGGTTCAATTGATTGCTGTTAGTAAAATGGAAGCACACTAAACATTCTAAAGATTGCCGTCCGGCCTAAGGTAATCTAATCAATGTTGCTACGATATCGGATCACTAATATTGTATACTTGATCTCAGATCAGCATTCGTCCATCAGAACGAAAAAGAAGAACCGAATAGTTTTTCAAAATCATACCTTAAGCGATCAGCGAAGCGAAGAGTTTTCATGGAATCAATTCAAACCATTTCAAGTCAGTCAGTCCACACACAAATTCAGAAATCAAACAAATCCTTGGCATTTGCAGGCCATACAGAGGTGCATTTATGAAACTGGAATTGCACGCTTGTTGTTGTGCGAAGAAAGATGAAAAAATATATTTTATTATTATTATTATTATTATAAACTTAGCCAGAGAATAAATTCTAAGACTAATGTCTTAAAGCACTAGGCATCTAAAGGCTTTCGGCTTTTATTAGAAACTCTACCGCACTTGAGATTTGAACCCACGACCATTGAGTTGGTGGTCGAAACTCTTGCCTACTCGGCCACTCAGGCGGATAAAAAAAAAAATATTTTATTTGAAGTATTGTCTATGGTTAGCTATGCTTCTTTTTCACCCTATCCGGCAATCCGTCGAGGCTACGCCAAAAAAGAAACCTGCTCTTCTTTTGAGGTAAAAGATTTTCGTTTATTTTCGTAAGAAGAGAAGCGCTGTTCAGTAAACGCGTTCTGCACCGATGCAAACAAATAGTGATCGGAACAAGGAGATTTTGATGGATAAGCCACACGGACTGGAACTTCACAGCTGAGTGCTCCCAATGTATCGCGAACAGATTTCTCTAAATGGATAGACGGACACATGTCATGTAAAAAATTGATCTTATGTTGCCTCTTATGATATTTGGCTAATCACTTGAACGGTTTAATCACCGTATCCTCTAAGAGATTGAAAACAAAGGGAAAATGTAAATTTGCATATGCTTTAATATTGGGCGTGGTTGATATTTGTAGAATGTGTATTGTCTGTCGCGCATCTGAGGAACGAGAAAAAGACATGGTGTACCCAGTTTTAGTTGCATTGATCTGTTTAGATCATTTTCAAAGTCGTTTGCTTCATTCCTGAGACCAGGAGAAAGCTTACACAGATGGGCATGCTTAAATCGTTTCAGGATTTTGATGCCGATGGAGAATACACATATTTTGTTGGTCCTCTGAAGCTTGCCACGCTTCGGTGATGGGCATAAAAAAAGTCTAGTGGTCTATAATAGTAATTTGTCATAGAAGTTAACAGTGCCACATTTGAACCATTTAGGTCTGCTTTTTGAAGCCCATGCTATAAATGGATTCTTCTCAGAAATAAGGTGGCAACAAAGTCTAGTTTTTAGTAATTTATGACGGAGTAGGTGAAGAATAATAAGATCTTTGACAAAACATTGATCACTACAGCTTACGTTTCGGAACCGATCTCAAACAAGGACTCTTACATAAGGTATTCTCTCAATAGGAAACAAAGTGCAATTTTTGATATTTTATCACAAAAATATACGAATTATATTAAGCGAAGTGGTGTAGTGGGTCTTGCTCCTCTATAATGTCTTTATCCTTTTCGTTTTAAGAAACATAGCAGAATGACAACAACAAAGGCTTAAAAACGATAAAATTTCAAAAATAAGAAAGAAAAAAAATTTTAATAAAATTGAAAAGAAAAGCTTTATGAAGCTCAATAAACATTTCGTATGGTGGATGAAGTTATGTCTACCTAAACCATAAATCGCAAAAGTTACATAAATGCCAAAAGGTTATCCAGTTCGTTGCTTAAGTCTTTTCTTCGAATGATCGAGCAAAACGCACTAAAATATGGTTAACGTGTATGCGTAACGTGTATTTGAATAAATTTTTACTAACGCACACATACAAGCGTAAAATAAAAATGAAAAACAAAAAAAAATATTACAAAATTTTAAGTCAAAAGAAAAAAAAAACACCTCAGCGTATTAAACGTTACGTAATTGCCGTAAAAACCGAAAGTTTCTTTTCTTTGTGTGTTTAACTTGTACCCACGTAATCATAACTAAATTTAGTTTTCGACAAAAAAAAAAAAGACAAAACAAAATGATTCATTTCCAAGTAAAGGTTAAAATTTGTTGTTGTTGTTGTTGTTTTTTCTGATTCTTTTTTAATTTCAATGCGTTTGTGTGTGCACTGCCGTGTATAAACAAACTGAAACTAATCCTTTACGAATGCAAAGGGACGGAAGGCTAGTTAGCGCTAAGGCGAAACTCGTTTTGAACGCAAAGAGAGTTTCAAATAGGCTTTCGTGTGTGTGTGTGCGCGTTTATGTATGTGTTATTGCTTTGTGTTATATTTATTTTTTAAAGATATTTAAAAGAAAAAATTGTTGTTTTCTATGCGTAAAGAGAAATAAAAAAAATAACAAGTCAATTGAAGATTGTATACCGCAAACAAAAGACATTTTGAGAAGCTACACAAAAAATGTGTCGACTGAGCTCGTACTCAAGCAATGCTAGCGATAAGAGGCAAAACGTTTCTAATTCATAAGTTGTGTGACAAAGATTTCGTTAACTTAATTTACCAGCAATTTTTTTTTTTTGCTTTTATTTCGAACTCAGCCAATGGAACATACTACTACACGCATTCGCACACACACACACACATTCACTGACAGTTGTTTTAAACTTTACGTAAAAAAACGCTTTGCCAACTTTCTATTTCATTTATATACAAACATAATCATATATATATGTATATATATATATAGTTAGGATATATTTGTACGGTTGCAGAGTAAGTCAGTTTTTGTGATAAGAGCGCGATCAAGAGGTTTGTTTTTACCCAAAAATGTTTCGACCGGTTTGTAGTGATGAATCGCAAATGCTTTACGTATTGAACGAATTTTCAGCAGCGTCTCTTCACATATTACATGTGTACATGTATATAAGCGGTTGAGTAAATTTTGTTGAAATTATTTAAACACCAGAAGGGCTATTCACAGGTTTTGATGGTCATTTCTTTTCTTTATTTATTTATTTATTTATTTTTTTTTTCATTGTTTTGCTGTTACTGCAGATATTTTCGACGTCACTTCTTTTTTTTTTCTCATTCCTAATGATTTCACTTTCATTTCTTCAGTGGACTGATATTCGATACCCTGTTTTTTTTTTTTTTTTTTCCTTTTTTCCTTCCATTTCAACGATCGTGGCTGGTTGGCTTCGAATAATAAGCCAGTATCTGCAGCATGCACAGGCTGGATGGTTTAAGTGATTTTTGCTCTTATTTTTTTTATATATATATATATATTTTTTTTTTTGATTTCTCTCCTTCGTTGCTGCATCATGTGCACAGATATAAAATGCTTTATATATATATATATATAAATGTGTTTATATGGATGTACATAGGTGTTTGTGTGTGTTGGTTTAATTTTGTTCGCAATTTAGTATTAAATAAGACCTTTCTTTCAAACATTTATGCTTTTCTTTTTCCTTTATTTTTGCGCTTAACAATGCTTTCTGTCAATTTTCTGGCTATTAAGTAATTGGTCGATTGTATTAGAGAATAATTGTTGTTACATATGAACGATACTCTAAGGTTTCATGAACTCTGTCTGAATTGCTGCAGGCGCTTTAGAAAACAAAAGGTTAAGTGTTTTTTATTGTTTTGTTTTTTGCAATAAAGGCAAACGAAGGCAAATTAAAATTTAACTTTAATAGCTTTGGTGTTTATCACAGCTTTTATTAATTAATAAATTACGGAGTCGTTAAATGTATCACAATTGAACAACAATTTGTTTTTTTTTCGCATTTTTATTACACTTAATTATACGTTTAGCGAAAAGTCCAGGACTTGAAAAAAATTAAATTAAAACACTATAGCGCGATGCAGCTCGCTGTTAAAACCCTACATAGCTTTGCTTAAGATAGTCATCCACATGACAACTTTTCAAGATAGGCTGTTATATGGGAAGCGGTCGAGAAAGTGGTTCGATCCGCACCATTTTCAATTGCGTTCAGCCTTAGGTCAAAGCATGTCGGCTTAACGGATTTAAGACAAGCAAAGGAGGCGGACAGACAGACAGACAAGCTTATACATTCGGTGTAAGAAAAGCCTTTGTGGGTATTTTTAAAACTGCGATCAATAACCAAAATACAAAAATACATAGGTAGACGTAAATCGGACGGGCAGACAATCTTAATAACAATAAGGTGATAAAATATATAATAAACCGCGTGTATCTTAAATCCTTTTGCGTCTTAGGTATATCCGAACAAATTTTCCCCCATTTTCAAAACACAGAAATTCGTAGCAGAAACCTTAGCAAGTATTGATGTATACATTTGAATAAGGGCCAATTTCATCCTTAACCCTTTAATTTGCTCGTCTCTTCATCCCGTTGTCTCTCTTCTGTTCATATTGGAAATGTTCACAATTGCATTAAATGAGGTGAAAATCTGAATCCGGACATATGCATGCGTTCTGAGTTCAGTTCTCAGTACATATGCCCACTATATGGAAGAACTGCCACACCACGCCTGTAAGAAATTACATGTCAGGCAAACCGTTTGTGTCGTTTTTTTCCAATAAATGCGTTTAGTATCGCTTTAGAAATACTAAGTCTATCAAGCGGCAACGTAGCGTCTGTGAAAAGTGATATTTCATAGCTTCAACCAAAGCGATGGATAAAATTTCGTAGGTCTATGAAAGACATTTTTTTCACTTTTTCGTCTAGTTTATCAAAAGCTCATTGCATAATGGGGTTCACCAGAAACACAGCGGAAGGTTGTCGGTCAGAATGGCGAATGAAGTTCATTGGAGATCGAAGTAAAAAAAATAGGCATTTGATAAAAAAAACGCCACGAACTTTTTTCTTGGCCTAGTAAAATAAAACTTAGTATCTAAACGAACCAGAGTGCAGACCGTCTACCATTTAGCAAAGATAAAAGTGCAGCGGCTTTATTGCAGGTCGTAAGATGGTTCACCTCTTAACCTTGATTCGAGAATTTTGTTTGCGAAATAATTTTATATTTAATAGATATCCTCCAACAGTAAATGCAAAAACTCAGTAGGGCTTCAGAAAAGGCGATACTTGTCATTGCACCTACTGTTTGTAAGTCTTGTTAGACGTATAATACCTTTGAGTGTGCATCCGGTGTTTGCGTCACTTATGATCGACGACGCATGGATGCAGTTGACTTAGATTCAAAGTGATTTTTACATTTTCCTCTACCTGATATTAACTGGGAATCTTTTGTTAGCATAAACAATAAGGTTTTTTAATGAAAGCCAAAATAAGAAATATGTTTATTTATACCCGCAGGCTAACGCAACGCAAATTTTTTCTTTCTAACTTTAACTTTTTCTTTACATAGCCAGAGGAAACGAAAATAAAAGAAAACGAAAAAAAAAAAAAATTAAATAAAATTGAAAGTCTTAGCATAATGACTTACACATCACGCAAAATAATGAATTTTTCTTTTTATTTTTCAGAATCCAATACACGATGCATCTTATAATGAATAAAAACACAGTGCAATTCACATTTTTTCGACATTTTCAACGCGAATTGAATTGAAACAATTCGAAATCCAAATACTCTTATGATAGTGATTTGTAAAAATCTGGTTAAACAATTAGTACGTGAACGATTTGCAAAAAAATGAGACGAAAAGCGGCAAAAAATTCCAAATTTTTGAAACCAAATTTCCAAACATCAAAATTCCTTCAACGAAAACGAGAACAACACACTTTATGGTGCTGGCGTAGCATAGCAATGGAATATTTAACGATTACACTATTGCTGCTCCTCTTGATAAATTTTACCGGTAAGTTGGTGTTGGCTGTTTGTCGTCTTTCTTAATTAAAAAAAAAAAAAAATATGTACGTAATTCACATATCAATTAATGCGGGCATTGCTCTACATAAACAAATTTTTTTTTGAAATCTATGTAAACATCTTACTCTGTTGGGAAAGTTTACATTCGTATAAAGATATGTGCAAATATCTATAACTTATACACATCTGCTTATATACAGCTAAGGACATATAAATAGCGTACATTTTCCTCTCATAAATGAATATGAAAATTTATTACGAGATTTATGTAGTTCTTCAAAATATGACACTATATGGGAGTTGGTGCGATCTGAGCCATCTTCAGAGCGTTGCTCGTTGGGAAAAACCAAGCCACTGTACCAAATTGAACCCAAATATCTCGAATATTACGACCTGTAGCTTGAACACGACAGTAGTAGACGAGCAGACAAAGAGAATAAGAAAGTGATTCTGAAGATCAGTATAGTAAAAGATGGTTCTATCTCAAGTCGTCCTCTCATACATCCGCACAGATCTGATAGAACCTTGTAGCACAATGGTCGTAGGATGTAAGATCTTACAATACAAAAACGCTACGTAAAAATATCTCTTTGAACAAAGCACTTTTCATATTCCTTTCTTTTTACGATCAATCACTGAGGGAGTGTTCTCCATAAATATGATACAATGACGGCTAGGATGAAAGTGGGGAGCAACTGTAGCCTAATCGGGCCTATAGCGACACAGCAGCACTCTTTTTAGCTACGGCCGCAAATCTATCGTAATTAAAATTTAGCCTTCCACGCATGACGATTCACTGAAATAAAGTGGGAATGATACGAAGTCCATGCTTTCGACAAGTTTCTTGCAATTAAAAATTTAGAAAAAAACACACATAGGTATATCAGTGTTCTGGCTAAGCTTGGATGAACTCATTGAAGTTAATTGATTTTCTCTTAATCAGGAGAGGCGCTGATATCGCGTTGTGCGTTAATTTTATGTCAAATATTGATCTTTCCAATTTTTTCCTTTCTAAACAATCTTTAAGCAAATCTTTGTCTCATGAGCTGAAGAGCGAGCTATTTATTTGCCAAAGGCTGTGCATATGTAAAGATAACGTTTCTTGCATTATTTATGAAGCGACATATGTGTTGACACGACTCTCTTACGGTACGCTTAAGCATTACGTTTAGATAACAACAAGTGGGAAAGCCACAGTCGTCGCTGTAATACGAATATCTCATACTCTATCCTGTTCGAAGATGTGAGCCAACAGACCTGATCGATGATACTAATAATTTCTTAAAACGTCTTTATATACATATGATGCTAAAGGTAAAAAGTAGTACATGTTTTGCCCTTTCATTCGATTGGATTTATTGCTGAAAGTCGGATGAAATATTATTTGTGAGAAGTATTTAGATAATTAGTTAGCTATTTAGGCGAATACTCGCACCTAAGTGTACTTTTACTGTTCATTAAGTAGTTTTTTTTTTTCGTAGTCTGCCTCCACTTCATTGCATAGCGTAGTACACTGTTTGGTTTATAGCAGCTAATTAGACGATGGCTTAGTAGCTTAAACGATTTCAGTCTATCTATTATTTCGTAAAGGTTTAAATATTCCGTTATCATCATAGTTGCGACCCACTTTTTAGTTTTAATTTTATGGCGTAAAGTAATTTTCGATCGTATTTTTATTAAACAACATTTCGCGAAATATTTCTATATTCTCAACAAACTAAAATATAATGCCAACGTAATTCCAAGTAAAAGCAGTTCAGAATTTTTAAAGCCATAAATTATTTATTTTTTCAAAATAGGTTCAATCACTTATGATGTTATTTACAAGCTAAGGCAAGACTGAGTTCTTCAATCGTTTTTCTTGGGCTGTTGTTGAGAAACGAGCCTTTTCTATGCTTCCTGTTCAGTCAACATTTTTTCCATTGCAAGCAGAAGGAAGTCAGGCAGAGCCACGCCTAATAAGAACATACTTAAAAGGGCGATTTGTTCCCTTTGCGTTTCGTCCACCGCTTCCCTTCTTTAAATGTTTTATACGCACAGTTTAATTAGCCAATTAAACGCTTTCAAGGGCCGGTTTATAGCGGTTAATGTCAAGTAAGGTCGATCGTAGTTTAGATATTGTTCTCGATGCAAATTTTACGATCAACTAAGAATAAGAAAAAGTATCGACAGCTATAAATCGACGTCGAAAAATATGCTCCCTATAAGGTGCGCGTACTTCTCTTCATTATGTTCTACGCCACTTGTAATAAAAGAGTTTGTCAAGGTGAGGAGAATGTCTTTGACCCGTAGAAGGAGATCAGATACATACCGACCGATTCAGAATCACCTTTTGCGTCGATTTAAGCTTGTCTGTCCGTCCGTCCGCCTTGTTCTCTCGTGTTAAATCTACAGGTGACAATTTTTGCGGTACACCGACGAATTTGTACTGCTAACGAAGAATCTAGGTGATTCAAGCTATCTATTAAACGAAGAAAAAATTTTTTTTCTGTAGCTTGAATGCTGGGATTAACCCCTTAAAGAATGCAAACTGCACGTTTCACAGATTTAATAAAACCTTGTCACGGAGTAACTGCGGTCATAGTAAAGCGCAATTTATAGGCTTGCCATGCAAGGTATCGAGAAGTCGCGTCTCTCTTGCGATTGGTTCGCACGAAGAGCAAGAAGAAGAAAAAATGACAAACCTTATAACAATGATTAATATTGATATATCATCGAAGATTTCAATAACTTTTAACACAATCTCTTCACAAATTTTACCATTAATTACTTTATTTAATTTAAAACTAATCCAATGCAGTTAGGTTTCGAACCTTTTAAACTGTATATGAGCGAAAATAAAATAATATAAAAACAAATGAAAATAGTACGGCAAGGTTGACGGCTAAGACAACTCGTCGTTCATTTTCGGGACAAAGCACTAAACACTGTAGCTTCTTTTTTTGCACAGGCGTACTTTTCAGTCAACCAAGTTTAGGAAAATTAAGTTTCTTGACAAAGATCTTACTATACTTTCTCACTATTTTCGTCCTAAAACGTTCTAAATTAAATTTTGTTGCCGTAAAAAGGTTTTCATGAGAAAGAATCTTATCCCAACAAACTGACCTAAGTGCTTAAAATCAATTAGACAATCAATTTTTACATCACATAACTATTACGAACGAAGTTTTAATACAAAATATTAAAAATCACACTTTGTTGTCGTATAAAAGTTGATTTTTCGATGGAAGGGATGTGAGAAAAGCCATTCAAAAAATTGTTCCGTGCAATAAAATGCATTATTCACATGATGCCAGGTCACGCACTGTTATCTAACGATTTTTGCCAAGGAATTTAAAGAATTTTTTTTTGTGTTCAACAACTTTTTCAAATTACGCCAGGTGTAGACAATGCAAAAGGGAGGTCATCGAAGGCCTTTGAAATAGCATTTATTTTGAAAGAAAGAAATGTTTGTACTTTCCTGTACAAAAGCGAAAAAAATGTGGCAGGTCAACTGCCAGCATATCTGCTCATGTTGAACACAAATTTTATTTTTTACAAATTGTACTCACACAGTAAGGGTTCGTCCTTGCGTCAAGAAATCTTGGCGCAAAAGTGATAATCTATAGATTGAACATGAAGGTACTGGAATTGCTACAAACATCAAATAGACAGACAAGGGCAGGCTAGGTTAAGTCGATTCGGAAAATGTGTTTCTATCCTAAGTCTGGCTGCATGCTATTATCCGCACGAACTTACTATAACGTGCATCAAAAGTGGTGTAGGATATAGAGCTAATTTGTCGGTAGGTAAATAATAACACGTTATGCTTACAACAACAAAAATTGAATATTTAGATTACTCCAGTTTACACTGGTCTTTGCGTACTCAGCTTCGTCTGCAAATGTGTCAATAAAGCAAACCAATGAGTCACTTACAGCTTTCAGCTGTGACGTTGGCCTGGAAAGTTTTATTCCTTATCTGCGAAATTTAAAAAGGAAGCACTGTCGGTTTCTTCCTTGCTTTAACGTGATGAAGCGTATAACTGTCCCGTTACTTGGGCTTCTTACACATAATTTGCTTGGGTTAATTTCTTATTAGCTTTTGCTGCTAATAATCTAAAAACTAGGTCTCGAAACATATTTTTTTTCGAAATTTATCCCTAACTCTTTTGATTTTCTTGGTATAAAATCATTAATACCTCTGCACTCAATGAAACTGTGTGAAAATCTTCATTTAATTATTTTTTTAAATATGTTACTTAAACCGTTAAATTTTCACCAATTAAACGCGAATAGCGAGAGGAAAGAAACTTAAAAAATAAGACGAATGCACCGCACAAGCTGTGGCATCTCACTGAGTGAGTTCTATACAAAAAATCATAATTAGATAATGAATTCTTATCGTAATTAATTCGCATTCCTTATAAGCTCATGAAACGCAAATCATTCATTCATGGTTAGGTGTGAATATAAGCATTGATATGAGACTGTTTGGTATTTGGTTCAAATATTTATTTAAAGTCAAGGCTCAATATAGCCGAAAAAGTAACAATAACTATAAAACCAGTAACTAACACACTCGCATACTAAACTACTTTTCTTTTTTTGTTTTTTTTTTTTCTTAATTTTTAAATTAAATGAAAAAATTCTGTTTCTTTTTATGCATATTTTTTTTTTTTTGTTTTGTATGCAAAACACGTGTTACATATGTATCGTATTGTTATTGTTGTTGCATTTGCCTTTTTTCTTTGAATCTCTTTGGTTCACTTATTTATTTATTTTTTTTGTTTTCGATTAACCAGTTGAACGGCCTCTCCAAATGACACATACGTTTATACAAACGTTTTTGATTATTTGAAGATTTGCTTGACCTACTTCCAATCAAGTTTCTGAAGTCATTCTACCTGTTGCTTAACACAAGCAGTAAACAGGACAACATTTAATGGGTCACTGTCAAATTGAACTTTTCTTTAGCAAAGCAACGCAACGGTCGGCACGTCATTGTACG